TTATTAATGATTTCTTTCACTGACAAAAAAAATTTTAGAGTGATGTAGTGCCATTAGTTTATTTTTGCTTTTGCTGTTCTTGCCAGAGGAGACATAGCCAAAAAAAATATTGCTAAGACCAATGTCAAAGAGTTGACTGCCTGCACTTTCTTCTGGAGTTTCATAATTTCAGGTCTTACATTTAAGTCTTTAATCCATTTTGAGGTTGTTGTTTTTTTTGTATAGTGTAAGAAAGTGGTCCGGGTTTCTTTTCTTTTTTTTTTTTTGCTTGTATCCAGTTTTCCCAACATCATTTATTAAAGAGATAATCTTTTCCCCAATGTATATTCTTGCTTCCTTTGTAGAAGATCCTTTGTCCATATAAGCATTGGTTTATTTCAGGGCTCTCTATTCAGTTCCATTGATCTAGGTGTCTGTTTCTGTGCCACTACCACGCTGTTTTAATTACTATAGCCTGGTAGTATGGTTTGCAATTAGGGAGTATAATACCTCCAACTCTGTTCTTCTTTCTAAAGACTGCATTGGCTATTAAATGTTAGGATTATTTGTTGTAGTTCTGTGAAAAATTGAGGTCCTAAAGTAGATGTTGTCTGTTGAAAACTGAAAAAGAGAGTCATAGTCTCTGCGTTGAAAATTCAATAGAACTGTTCTTTGCATAACAAGCTTCCATAACAGGATGCTCCTCCAGACCTTAAAGGTGCCATTCAGTCAGTAAGAAATAGAAAGTGAAGATGTTGTCTGGGAGCGAGGGACGTGGGAGCTGAAGACACTCCTTGGCCAAGGAGTAGCATAAAAATGGGAAAATGTTACTTGTGTTATGGGAATGGGTGGTGCTGAGTATATCTAAACTGATCTTTTCTGCCAAGAGAAAAAAATCCAGACTAAACCCAAACAACAACAACAACAGAAGTTTTAATTCTAGAAATGACTTCCAAAACCATGAATTTAATATTTTTGCAGAATATCTCAAAGAAAAGCATAATTACCTCATTTTCCAACGGTTGTTAAAAAAAAAAAAAAAAAAAACCAATTTGTATGAATATCAGACCAAATTTTATCTTCCCAGGAAGACTCCTTTCCACAAAACAAGGAGTGCCCAGGGGTTACAATTGCCACTCTTCTTTCGAGAAGGACAACCTAAGGAAAAGCCAACTTGACATCTGCACCAACAGGTCACACAGACATTTCTAATTGAACAGTTCGGACCGGACTCTTCTCACCCACACCTGTATCTCCTCCTAAATCCTGATACCAGGGCTCCTCAGGTTTGAGCTTCTGATTCCTTTCTTCCTAACGAATTCATCCCATGCATACAATGCCACACCACTGCCTAAATCTGTGCCCTGACAGGTGCTGGGAATATAAAGGTGAACGACACAGACCGTGTCCTTGTCCTCATGAAACTTACATTCTAATGGAGAGAACAGACATGAAATGAATAATCTGTCTAAGTAATTTTTAGGTATGGGCGTGGTAAATGCTAAAAAACTAATAATGTGCATATTTGTGCCCTAAGAGAATATAACTGAGAACTGACCTGTATTTGGGAGAAGGGAGGGAGGAAGCGATAAGGGAGGGAGGAGTTGAGGACAGTGGGAGGAAGTCTCAGCAGTGACTTGTACACTGAGTAAGCCTGGGAGGGTGTTAGTTATCAGAAAAACAGGTGGGTAGAGAGGGGTGATGCAGGAGAAGCACCCTGCGGTTAGAAGCAATAGCATCTGCAGAGTGCCGGCTTGGCAAGGATTCTGTGAAGACATGGGCGTAAGAGGCACCTAGTGGGCAGAGGCAGTGAATTTGGGATAAACTGGCAAAAAGTGAACCTGGAAAGATGCTGTAGGGCTAATCCCTAGAGCAATGGAAGGATTTTTAAGCTTGAGTTTGATAGAATCAGATTCCTACTTTTAAAAGATCACTCTGAAGTCAGGGTGAACAGGAGGGGTGGGGGGGAGGATTGGACAGAGCTGGTGGAACTACAGAGAAGAAACAGAGTTTTATATTCAGATTTAGACATGCTGAGTTTGAGATGTGAGAAATACTAGTGAAGAATTCAAACAGGTTGAATAGACATTCAGGTTGAAGCTCAGCAGAGAGGTTCTAAGTTGTAGAAAAAGATGGGACATTCCTTAGCACACAGGTATGGAGTGCCATCACGGAACAGAGATAATTCCTAAGCAGAGTGCAGACCTAGGAGAAAGAAGGCCCCGGACTGAGCCTTGAAGACCTCACATTTAATAACAGGCAGAGCCCTGGCCAGTTGGGCTCAGTGGTTAGAGCATCAGCCTGCGGTCCAGAGAGACCTGGGTTCGGTTCCCGCTAAGGGCATATACCTCGGTTGCAGTTTGTCCCCGGCCCTGGTTGGGCTGTGTGGGTGGCAGCCACTTGATGTGTCCCTTTCACGTCAATGTTTCCCTCTCCTCCCTCTCTCCCCCTCTCCCACCCCATCTGGAAAAAAAAAAAAGGAAAAATGTCCTCAGGTGAGGATTAAAAAAAATAATAAAAATATAAATAAATAACAGGCAGAAGACGGCGATCTGGCCAAGGGCACTGAGAGGCCTGATGAAAACAACGAGCAGGTAGTAAGTGCGGCGTAGAGAATGTTGCAAGAAGCAGGGAGACATCCCACTCGCGACAAGCCCAGACAGGCTCTTTGCATCTGTTCGCACTGGAGGCCAGTTGCGCAGCTGCAGTGGGATAACGAGGCCAGAAACCTCAGGGAGGTGAAGAGGTGGAGTGAGGCTGCGTAGGAAACTTCCGAGACGTTTGTCTGTGAAGGTGAGCGAAGTAGAGAAAGGAGAAGGAAATGTACAACCCAGGGGGATGTTTTTCTTTTGTTCTTTTTTTCTCTTTATACCAGAATTTAGCACATGTTTGTATAATTTTTAGTGTTTTTGTATTGATTTTTTTACAGAGGAAGGAAGAGAGAGAGAAACATCAATGAGAGAGAAACATTGATTGGCTGCCTCCTGCACGCCCCCTACTGGGGATCGAGTACACAACCCGAGTATGTGCCTTGACCGGGAATCGAACCGGAACCTCTCAGTCCATGGACAACACTCAATCCACTGAGCCACCCCGACTGGGCGAACATGTTTATACTTTTGTAGGAGAAATTCTCACAGAGGCAAAAGCAGTCAGTATGGGGGAGGGGGGGCTTGGGGGACCGGACAACTGACATATGGGGATCCTAACTGGGGTTTGCAATCCATGTTTGTGGGGGACCTGCATTTGAAAGCAAAGGGCTGAATCTTCCCCCGAACTCAGAGGAAAGAGGCCAAGTACATGCATAGGTTATGGAGTATGTCAGTCCCCCTGGGACAGGGTATGTGGAGGGACAGCTGCATCCAATGAACGCATAGGAACTCCTGAGAAGACAGTGAGACCACACCCCATGGATTTATGGCTTAAAACTGGCAGAGACCAGCTTCATCCAACATGGTGACTAATTTCACCTGACAGTAACCCCTAGCCTCATTATATGCTCCTTTTAATACATTAGCGTGCTAAACCACACACCCCACTGCTATGATCAGAAAATGAAAGCCCACGTAAGGACACAAAATGGCCTACGGAGCTTCTCTGAGAAATCTCCCCTTTCCCGAGAAGATCCTGAATACTCCTCCCCCTCATTGACTAGCCTACCACCCCAATTCAATGAACCTCAATAAAAGAAACAAATTCCAGCCCGGCCAGTGTGGCTCAGTGGATTAAGCGTCCGTCCCACGGGCTGAGACGTCCTGGTTCAATTCCTGGCCAGGGCTCATGCCCGGGTTGCCGGGTAGATCCCTAGTAGGGGACATGCAGGAGGCAGTGATCAATATTTCTCTCTCACACATTGATGTTTCTGTCTCTCTCTTCCTTCTTCTCTCTCTAAAAATCAATTAAAAAATTTTTTTTAAAAAGAAGCAAATTCCACTAACGGCGGCCCTTTCTGTCTGCGGAGTAGCCCACACTCTGTCTCGCGGCTTCACTGATAAACTCACTTTCATTTCCAGGGGCCAAAAATAGGTTGTAAAATTGCTGCTGAAGGCTTACTATAGGGAAAGAAAAGATTTCCCAGCAAGTTAGACACTTCTGAGAAATATTCAGAGAAGGAAGTGTTTTCAAGAACTAATGAACCTGAGACCATAACCAACAAGTGCCACCAGGGACAGAGGAGAAGTCCGGTCCTTTTTTTGTAAAATAGAAACTTCAATGGAGGTTTTGCTTCTCTTCCCAGCTTCCTTTCAGCAAAAATTCTCCATAAGCAGCATTTTATCTCAGAGTCTGTTCCCATAAAAACAACAGCCACTCCAGCCCCAGCAGATTGGCTTTGCACCCCTAGGCCACCTAAAAGCACATTCGGATACCTTCAGTCACATGTGGGACCAGGTGCTACTCTGTCTCCCTTCCCCGGAATCTGCGTCTCGTTGCCGGTTGTATTCACAACACAATTTACAATCCAATTTCCAATCATCTTGAATCCCTGGTCTGTGTGTGTGTGTGGAGGGGGGAATATATGTATATATATTTACTTATGCTTTTCACACAAATGTTATCGTTCTACAAATGAATTATATTCATTTAAAATATTCAATTAACAGATGGCTCAAAGAAATAAGTAAAACGTTAGGTGATATATCACTCAGTAGAAATTGCAGCATACCATTTGATGGGTATCATTGCAGCAATTTTTGAAAATTTTTATGGAGGTATAATTAACATATAACATTATATTAGTTTCAGGTGTAAACATAATGGTTCACTATTCGTATATATCGTGAACTGATCACTACAATAAATCTAGTTAACACCCATCCCCATACACAGTTCACATTTTTTATGGGGAGCATTGGTGATGATCTTCCTCGAAGAGTTCCCATCTATGAAATGCTTACCTTATCTTAAAAAGCTGAAGACTACATGCTCAGTCTTCATGCTTTCCTATTTGGGTAAAATTTGGGAGAAAGTACAAACAAAATTATCATTAACTTGCAATAACATTTGAGAAATGTACCACTCACATCACGCGTAGAACACAAGCCTTCACTCTTCTTTGGACCCAGGAGTTTCTTCATGTTTTCCTTGATGTTTTCTTTTCTCTGGTGTCTGAACGCTTTCTCCTGATCACACAGCGCCATACTGAATCGGAGGTCCGGGGATGAGCTGTGTGTAAAACACAGTCATGAGCCTAGTCCTCAATAGCTGCATATATAGGCTGACTGCTTCCCCCAAGCCATGTCCTAGGAGGGGACCTCAAACAAGAGTATAAAATGATGACTATCTCCAAGGCGCGTTTTCACAAAACAATAATAGATGATGTTTTAGAAAAAACAAATAAGCAAACAAACAGCCCCTGATCAGTTGTATGTTATGATAGTAATAGCTCTCTTCAGAAAAGAACCCTGTTTAAATAACACGGCTATGGCCCTGGCCGGTTTGGCTCAGCGGTTAGAGCATCTGCCCGCAGACCAGAGAGTCTCGGGTTCAGTTCTCGCTAAGGGCATATACCTCGGTTGCGGTTCATCCCCAGCTTGGGTTGGGGTCGTGTGGGTGGCGACCACTCGATGTGTCTCTATCACATCGATGTCTCTCTCTCTCTCTCCCTCCCATTCTATCTGAAGATAAATGCAAAGGTGTCCTCTGGTGAGGATAAAAAATAAATAAATAACGCAGCTATGAATAGGAGAGTCCGTATATGCTTGCTGGGTGGAGGGGCAGAGGGGGTGGGGATGGGGACATCTGCAACAGTGTCCACAAAAGAAAGAAAAAAGAAACCTGTTTAAATCTGTTTGGCACAGTAACAACCCTTAAATTACATACCTTCCTAAAAAATTGTGTCTTTACCATTCATAAAACTAAGTCCTTCCCTTCAGAGTGCATTAAATTTAAGGCTCATTTCTATTAATTCAGTACGTTTATTCCTTATAAAACACAGAACGAGAGAGAAGATTGTAAGGCTCCTGGGCTATGCACCCTACAGTGACATCTGATGAGTGCAAATATTTCTATTACAACTTCCCAAAGAACAAATAAATGTAACTCCCAAAAGAGCAAGTATGAATAATAATGAAGAGTAGAAGAATAAATTCTTAATTTCATTAGCAAAATTATAAAATATTGTTATTAAATTGATGATTCAAAAGGTGAAGTAGTACTGCTATTCTTATTTTGAAAATATAAATTTGAAAAATGCTTTTGAAAAGCGATTAGGCTATGACCACCAAAAATAATTAAAATGCATACTTCCTTTGGCTTTATAATTCTATTTCTGGATATCTACCCTGAACAGATATTTAATTATATTACCATACAATATGGTTATTAAATTATAGTATATCAAAGCATTGGATTATTATGAAGATTATGTAACAAAGTGGGAAAGAGTAAGAGAATAAATTTGCATTTTTATTTTTTTAATTTGTTTATTCAGTTTAAAAAAAGAGGGAGAGAGAGAGACAGACAGAAACATTGATGAGAGAGAACATGGACTGGCCGCCTCCTGCATGCCCCCCAATGGGGATCTGGCCTACAACCTGGGCATGTGCCCTGACCGGGAATCCAACTGGCAGCCTCTTGGTGCATGGGTTGTGCTCAACCACTGAGACACACCGGTCGGGTGCATAATTTCTTTCTTTTTTTTTAAATCAATGAACAGAGCAATGAACATAGATGTTTAGAAGATATCAGTACAGAAATATCTAGAAGAAAAAATGTTTAATGCTGAATAGTTTTATAAATATGGTAACAGAAGTATGTTTCATTTATTTCTTCTGTTATGTATTATCTTTAGTTTTCTTTTTAAAATTGTATTTTATATTTAATAGAAGATATTTCATGGAAAATTAAATTTTTCTTTAAAGAAAGTATTTCCATTTTAGAATCAAGATGTAAATTAACATATAAAAATAGTTGATTGCCTAGTCGGTGTGGCTCAGTAGTTGAGTGTTGACCCATGCACCAAGAAGTCGCCAGTTTGATTCCCGGTCAGGACACATGCCCAGGTTATGGCCCAATCCCAAGTGGGAGGCATGCAGGAAGCGGCCAATCAATGTTCTCTCTCATTGATGTTTCTATCTCTCTCTCTCTCAAAAAAATAAAAATAAATAAATAAATAAAATTTTAATAGAGTTTGATTAAAGTTCATTATAAATATATAATAAATTGCTTCTGGCCACATGTACATTATTTGGGTTTTTTCTACAATTTTGCTAACTGTGTTTAGTTACTCAACACTGTCCTAATTATATCAGTAAAGACTATTTCCCATAAAACAAACAGCATCACTTTCACAGTCAAATAAAAATATTTCTAATCTCATGCCAAAATAAATCACTTTTAAGCAAGAGTTAATGTAATGCAAAATGATGCAAGACAGTAACTTGGAATGTCCTTTGATGCTTCCTGAGGGACTGTGGTCATTTATGCCAATAATTTACAAAGTCAAGTCAACTTGTTCCAGAGATCAAAATAAGAGAAAGGAATGTCTAAACCCCATGCCAGGGTATCATTATCACACATTTGGCAAATCACTAGGTAGGAGAATGTGACATTAATGTATGCAGTGTTTATGTAAATAAAATTTGTACTAGTAACTTTGGTAAAACTCATGTCAACAGAGACGTTCAAAGGGATGCAGAGAGGTTGAGAGAGATGAGATCTAAAATCTGCATTGGATCAGGGATCAGCTAATTCTCTAGGCAGGCCTGACTTCTCTAACATTCACTATTTGAAAATAAATAAATGATTCCAACTTTCATTTTTAGAGCCTACTTTGAAAGAACAACACCCTTTCATGGAACTTGACCATTTTTATTCCTACTGATCACTATGACAAATCAGTCTCAATTTTCAGTTTCCCACTTTCTAGTTTCCTGTTCACTTTCATGCTTTCAATTTCTATCTAAATCAACAACAGAAAATAGGCTTAAATAACTGTATTCATTTGTATGGGAATAAATATATAACTTGGGGGGGGAGGCTTTCTAAAAATCCTTATTTTGACATCTATTATTTAACCAGCAAACTATAGGAAAATTAAACAAAGAATATTAGATTTATTTTTTAATGTTGTAGCTATTAAAAAGGAGCTAAAGAAAAGCAAAGTACACCCTGGCCGGTTTGGCTCAGCGGTTAGAGCGTCGTCCTGCGGTACAGAGAGATCCAGGTTCGGTTCCCGCTAAGGGCATGTACCTCGGTTGCAGTTTGTCCCCGGCCCTGGTTGGTCGTGCGGGTGGCAGCCACTCGATGTGTCCCTTCACATCGATGTTTCTCTCTCTCTCTCTCTTCCTCTCTCTCCCTCCCGCTCTATCTGAACAAAAAATGGATAAATGTCCTCGGGTGAGGATAAAAAAAAAAGAAAAGCAAAGTATACTTAATGCATTTTTATAGTCAAAATTGTTACAATTATTTTATACATTAAAAGTACACTTTTTAACAAAATAAATCAGTAGAACACTTACAATATCTTCCACCCAATGGAATAAATGCACTTACCAAACTTCAAGGGACATTTCCAGAATCATTTCAGTGACCTAGAAGAGATATATTACATTAGGTCATAAACAGATGTGTGTTATATATTATGCAAACAAAGTCAAAATCATTTTGGAGTGGCAGGTTATATTTAACCTAAACAAAAACCCTAAAAATAAAAGTAACATACTTCCCTGTATTTCAGTAATTTTTTTTGTTGCTCTTTTTTACAATCTAAATCTACTTAAGTCATTTTAGCAAATGTAAGCATGACATTTTTCTTTGTTCACAAAATGAAGTAGTTCAGTTCCACAATCATTATTCACAGATGATAAACACTGCCTGAGATTTAAAAACTATAAAGATGTTGTCCCTATTATTCAGGCGCTGTTCCCAAGCCTCAAAACCAGAAGTTGAAGTGGCTGGGAGGTTAAAGAAAGCCTGGGTGAAAATTCACACGTGTGCATTTTTGACATGTGTGGACTGTCGTAAACACCTATCCAAGGTGGGCAGCAGGAACCAGGGACCAACCAACTGTGGTCAGCTCAAGAAACATCTCCAAATGTGATGTGGGCTCAGGTCTTTATTTTTTCAAAAATCTGTGAGCCAACCAAACTTGTAGGAGAACCCCATCCCACCAATGAAAGAGAGTGTCCAATATCCACAAAGCCGAAGGGATATTAAAAGATGTCTCTCCACGTCGGCCTGCGGTCCTGAGAGACCCGGGTTCGGTTCCTGCTAAGGGCATGTACCTCGGTTGCAGTTTGTCCCCGGCCCTGGTCGGTTGTGCGGGTGGCAACCACTCGATGTGTCCCTTTCACATCGAAGTTTCTCTCTCTCTCTCTGTTCCTCTCTCTCCCTCCCACTCTACCTGAACAAAAAATGGAAAAATGTCCTCGGGTGAGGATAAAAAAAAAAAAGATGTCTCTCCAAGATTATGAATCTGTTGTATAGAAACCTTCTCAATACTCTCCTTGCCACTAATTATGAATAATGGAATCATAGGTTGTTATGAGAACGAAACATGACAGTGTTTGGAGGGTTGCTGCACAATTGTAAGATGGTACCATTATTTTTGTTACACCACTTACCGTAAGATTATAGAGTGAACCTATTCAATTCCTTCCAATAGAACAGAACTAGACTGTGTCTCTTAAAACGTGAAGATAATATTTTTAGAATTTACATACAATACTATAGATATTTGGCTTTGTTTTCTTTGTGGTTTGAGGGGATGGAAAAAAACAAACCAGAAGGAATCTTTCAAAAGGTTAAAACAAGTTCATGGATGATTCTCAGTACTAAATTTTATGAGTAACTAAAAGGTATTGAAGACATCTGTACAAAAATCTGCCTCTCCCACAAAACTGCACGCTCTGTCTTATACAGGTCTCTATTCCTAGTTCATTGCACAGAATTTGGCACACCACATATAATCAATAAATACTTGTGGAATTACTGGGCATGTGTATGTGAGAGGAAACACATCAGACAATCTTTTCTTATCAAGAACATCTCATTGTTACCGGAGATAAAATCATGGGCTGGTCCATACTTGTTATTAAGAAATTCTATGAACTTTTTTTCACCAAAGTAGCACATAAATATTACTTTGAAGTTAATAAATAATCAAGAATCCCCATACAATGGTATTTATTTTTTAACATACTCAAATGAATCATAGTTTAGTTATAAGTAAGAAATGTGATTGACTTCTAAACTATTAATGTAATTGCTGTCTATTCCATCAATGAGCTCGGACCACAGCCCAGCACACCATGTCTATTCCCCATTTCAAAACTTCAAATGGAGTTTTTTCCAAAGAGGGATTGAAAAAAGTAATTTACATTAAACGAGATCCCTTTAGATATTTAGTAAGAAAAACAAGACATGGGTAAAACATGTTCTGATGCAAAAAAAAAAAAGAGTAAATAAATACAGGAAAGCTGCTATTAAAATAAGACTAGATTTACTGTTTTTATCTCCAGAGGGCAAAAGCACCATGGGAGAAAAGAAATTAAGAAAACTACAACTCAATATGGACTTTCCTAATAAATGGAAAGACCCAAAGCTGCAATGGGCTTCCTATCCCAATGTGGCACCTCACGACAGAAAGTGTTCAGGAAGAAAATGGTCCCCACATGGCAGGTCCTCCGTCCCCAGCCCTGGTCAGGGTCGTACAGGAGGCACCCATTCAATGCGACCCTCTTCCATCGATGTTTCTCTCCCCCCGCCCCACTTTATCTGAAGATAAATGAAAAATATCCTCAGGTGAGGATGAAAAAAAAATTAAAATCAAAGTTCATATATTAAAATATGCAATGCCCAAATATACCTAATGCCTGTGTGTCCTCACAACTTAATAAATAAAAGGAAAAATCAGCTGTGCTACGTTTCTGGTCATATTGGCCTTCTCCAGGAGAACGTCCCTTCCACATCGGTCCACAACATTTCTTGGCTGAGACATCCATGTTCGTCCCCTGACTGATGAGACTGAATGCAGGCGGGATGAGACAAGAGAAGACCAGGATTTGCCTGCCCTTTGGAGGAGCACAGGATGCGTTGCCATGGTTCTGGTCACGTGCGTGGGGAACCGTACCTCCGCCTCCGGCCCAGGTGGACGGCCACAATCAGGAGGAAATGGTAAACTCCCCCACCTGGTGCGCTATGTCCAGACATGCTGTGGAGACTGACAATCACAGTCTCTCCACACCTTTCCCTCTCAACGTGTGATTCAGAAAAATAGCCACAAAGTATGTACTTCCTGTGCAGCATGCAAACATGCTGTAAACTCCTTCCCACACACCGCAGGAGGCCTCCCTCCATGCCAGCCAGCCAGGTGGCTGCCTTTCCAAGGCAGTAGGAAGAACAGGGGCCCAAATCTCCCAGCCCTCCCCACCCCACAATATCTAGTTAAGAAATGGTCTGTCTCTCCCAGGAACTGGAAATGCAAGAAGCGAGCTGTACTCATTGTACATTCGTGTGGGGAAACAGCATTCTCGTCTTTGAATTCCACGATGCAGAACAATTTTACATGCTTGCAATGGGAGGTGTTCCATGGAGGGGAGGAGGAGGGGAAGCGGAGCAGAAAAACTACTTTAAAAAAAAGCCATTTCAGACTTAAAAATCATTTCGAAAATATTGAACGCATAAATTCTTTTGGAAACTTTCCAGGGTCATTCTGAAACAACAAAGCAAAGGTAACAAGCACAGTGCCTGGCATTAAGGAGGCCTTTTAAAAGTATTATTACGAAAAGATACAAACAGACAAATAATGTTAAACTAGATATGGATCTAACAAGGAGGCAATTCAAGTACACAGGACAAATGACAACCCCGCCAAAGGGTGTGGAGAAAAGGGGACTCTAGTGCACTGCTGGTGGGAATGCAGACTGGTGCAGCCACTATGGAAAACAATATGGATTTTACTCAAAAAATTAAAAATTGAACTTCCATTTGACCCAGTGATCCCACTTCCAGGAATATACCCTAAGAAGCCTGAAACACCAATCAGAAATGTTCGTAGCAGCACTATTTACAATAGCTAAGATCTGGAAACAAGTGTCCATCAGTAGACGAATGAATAAAAAAGCAGTGGTACATATACACGATGGAGTACTATGCAGCTGTAAGAAAGAAAGGTCTCTTATCCTTTGAGATGACATGGAGGGACCTGGAGAGTATTATTCTAAATGAAACAAGCCAAGCAAAGAAAGACAAATATCACATCATCTCACTTATTTGTGGAATATAATGAACATAACAGTCTGAGGAACGGGGTAGTCCCAGAGACACGGAAGTGGGGTACAGACTGACATTCCCCAGAAGAGGGGGTGGAGGGAAAGATAAACAACAGAACTTATATGCATGTATGCATGAACAATGGACATGGACAACAAAGCTGAAGACAGGGCGGGGAGGGCGAGGGTAGGGGAGTATCAGTGAGGGAATAAGGAGAAACATCTGTAACAAAAATTAATTAATTAAAAAAAAAATAACAACCCCGCCAATACAAGCTAGGTCACTTCCAAGTAAATTTTACATGCTTAAAATTTAATAAGACACTGCTAAAATCATTTTTAAATACATATGATTTTTATAACACTAACATTTATTCTTTATTGAGATATAATTGACATATTATAACAGTTTCACCTGTATAACATAATGATTCAATATTTGCATGTACTGCAGAAGGATCACCATAGTAAGTCTAGTTAACATATATAATTTATTAATCAAATGAAATTAACATTTACTACTAGGAATCATCTAATCCATCATCCAAGAATTCAGGATAATTGTGTCTCCCAAAATGTCCCAGACATGAAAGATAAATGAATATATCTTTCCCCTCTAGCCATATTCCACGCCATCACACAGAGTTTTCCTCTTACACTGGATGATAACTTTCCTTAATCGAAGGCCCTTTTTCCTCTCCAGAGGACACTGGAAATTCTGGAACAGCTTGTAATCATCAGCTATCATACAATAAACCTGATTTCAAGAGCACTACTATCTAACCAGAAGACTCTTTTCCTCCAAATGGGAATCACTCAGATTCTCTAGTTTTTCTCTCTTTTAAACTTCATTTCTATTGTTACACCTGTCTGAGCACTTCCCAGGTCTTCTGTATTTTCCATAAGTGTATTCGTTTATCCATTCATTCAAATACGATTCCAGTGACTACTATGTGTCAGGCTGGGTCTGCACTGGTGACCACATTGAAGGTGTTCTACTCCCTGAAGGTACTTAGGTCCAGTCATGACCCCAAGGACACAAGAGCGTTCTAAAATGCCCTATAATTCAAAACTTATAAATTGCAGAACTGTCAAAAAGAGACTCACTTAGGATTCCATTGCTAGTGTCCCAAAATAAAAATGCTTTCTCTCTTAAAGCTGGAAACTGTTTGACCTACATTTGGACTCCGCTCTGCATCAATCCGATGGCATTCACATCTTAGCCAAAGATTTCTCGAATTTCTAACAAAATGATACAGTTCTCTCCTTTTCTCTCTAAACTCTGCTTAGTCTCATTCGCTTAGGCAAATTGTAGTCTT